AGGAAAAAAAACTTAAGTGCGAGCGTCGAGTATGGCATCTCTCTCAGGAAACAGTTTGGCATTCATCTGGAAATTGCACAATGACTAGGTAGAGAAAATATGTCCGCGAAATTTTCAGCTTTTTCACATAAGTGCGTTCTATCCACAAGTTGTAAGGTAAAAAAAAAAAGAGAGGGACGGAGCTACTCGGAAGTTACTGTATAGGTGGCCTTAAACTTGAGGAAATACTTATGATAGCAGCATAATATTACCATAAACGAAGGATTAAGATATCCTTTGCCTAGAGCATTAAGCATGGTTCGTGGGGTTTCCGAGTAACAACTGGAACCAGGAGCCCATTACTATTTTTTAGGCAAATAAGTCGATGAAAAATAATAATAGGTTCTAGTCCTTACTCGGCAACCTGATTTTGGAGTATCCATTGAAGTCACGACCATTAAGCAAGTGACTACGTCACCGAGCCTTATTGTATGCAATTCAAATGACACTGACATTTATTCAACGGAAGAGAGAGTGAAGACTATGGAAGTTGTGAAAATTGTCGTGCTTTTAGCTTGCCATAATGTTCTTTTATCAGAAGCCATTGTGCTTCCAAATTTCTATCCTTTTGGTGTGATCGAGGGAGACCAGCTCGTTCCGACAAATGACGATGGGAGCTCTGGGACGATACCGATATCGATTCCGTTTCCTTTCTTCGACAAGAATCAAAATTCGCTTTTTGTAAGTATGCTCATTGTTTTTTTTTATGGCAGAAAACTGAAGATGTTCTTACGTGACACAAGCACACTGAAATCATTACAATAAGTTTGTTACAAAAGCGTGGCGTCCAGACTGAGGGTCTTGCTTGGCGCCTTACAGTTAATCATAATATACAACGGTTCAGGTCTGTGATGGAATGTTTGGTGTAAGAAGTCACAGATAGATTGAAATGGATTCAGTTCGCCAACTTGGTAGGACGCTGTATTTCAGAAAGCGATTTTTCGGCTTAAACGGTCGCTGAAGTTTAGTTCATCAACGAACGAGGTGGACTTTGTTTACAATTGCATGTTCTGTTCATACCGCGTTGTTAGGTGACGATGTTCAACCCATCATGTGTTCAAAGATTCCTAATTCGCAACATAACATAGTTAAACAGAAATAAAACCACAAAAGAGATGGTCTTGTTCATAAAAGATTGAAATACGAAAATACTGAGAATAGAAAAAGGATTGCTAGGCGGAAAATATGGAGCGAGGAAATTGCGGAGTGTAGAAAATGAGGAGAGTGGAAAATGAGGAGTGTGGAAAATTTTGATCGCAGCTTTGAAGAATACTCACGAATGTGTTTTCATTTCTAAATCGTACATACTTTTAAAGCTTTCAAGAACACTAACGAATATGTTTTCATTTCTGAATCGTGCATTACTATTCGCAGCTTTAAAGCCGGAACACTAACGAATGCCTTTCATTTCTAAATCTTCCATCACTTTTTACAGCTTTAAAGAACACAAACGATTTTCTGCTATGTGATAAAAGTATATAAAAGAAATCAAGGTTCGTAGCATTACTTAAAGGCCATGACAGCCTTCAACAATTGCAAACTGGCCTTCTAAAACGCGGAGAGCACCTAACATCGGGTAGGTGTGAAATGAGTGTTCGATACTGCTACAGATAGCGTTATTGTTTAAATCGGAAGCGACTAAAATGGCTTATCGTGTTAACTGTAATAATAACATCAGCATGAAATAATCATTCAAAATAAAAGTGATTTTACTGTTTTATAAAGACTTGTATTGTTTGCTTTTCTGGGGCATTGAAAGCAGTAGTTATTGTTTACCTACCTGTAATTAAGGCGTATATGAGCACGATCCTTCGCAGTAAAGCACTATTTGAGCAATAGTGAAAATCAGACCTGAAAAAAATTTCAGGCCTGTACGGGATTCGAACCACTGACCTCTGCGATACTAGTGCAGCGCTCTACCAATTGAGCTAACAAGCCAACTGGGAGCAGGCCATCAAATTAATTCGATATAAACCCGTAGATGATAAATCAAACAACAACAAACATATGAAACATATGTGTGAACTGCGGTTATGAGACGTATATGAGCACGATCCTTCGCAGTAAAGCACTATTTGAGCAATAGTGAAAATCAGACCTGAAAAAAATGCGGTCTCATAACCGCAGTTCACACATATGTTTCATATGTTTGTTGTTGTTTGATTTATCATCTACGGGTTTATATCGAATTAATTTGATGGCCTGCTCCCAGTTGGCTTGTTAGCTCAATTGGTAGAGCGCTGCACTAGTATCGCAGAGGTCAGTGGTTCGAATCCCGTACAGGCCTGAAATTTTTTTCAGGTCTGATTTTCACTATTGCTCAAATAGTGCTTTACTGCGAAGGATCGTGCTCATATACATCTCATAACCGCAGTTCACACATATGTTTCATATGTTTGTTGTTGTCTGTAATTAAGGATTGAACCCAATCAAAGGATATTATGGAAAAAGAAGGTTATTCTTTCTCGGCATTTTCATTTTTCTACACTCCGCATTTTCCACACTCCTCATTTTCCACAATCGGCATTTTCCGCACTCCGCAATCCGCACTCCTTATTTTCCACCTAACCAAAAGGATGAAATAGGGATCACTGGACCGGAAATTCTTTGAATGACTCATGAAACAGAGGTAAAAAGATTACGCTGTAAAGCCTATTTCTAAAATCAATCATTACTTTTAGTTTAGGGCATGAATCTTCAAAGCCATGATACTAGCAAAAAAGAATTTATCACACAAAAAGATCATATAAACCTTAAGAAGTATATGCTCCAGAAGCCATACAACTTTTGTTTCCTCCTTTATAGGCACTGCAAAGAGTGTCAAATAACAGCATATACCTGACAGCGTTTTGACTTTCCAAAGGCGGGTAATCTAACCCTTCTATAATATCGCCCTCCAATATATTAAAAACTCGACAACCAAGCTAATTTTTTTGCGAGTGTATTGACCACTTTCAAATATGGCTGCCGGATTAATTTTTTTGTTTAAATTTAAATTAGCCTTTCTGGCCTCGCTTGAGATAATGTATTCTTTTGAATTTTGTACTGGAGAACGAGGCCAGAAAGGCTAATTTAAATTTAAACAAAAGAATATTAATCCGGCAGCCATTTATGAAAGTGGTCTATTTTTACGATGAAAATTTGTCAAGCACTTGTGAAAAAATGTCTCACGTTCCGTCCCTCGGCCAAGAGACTCATTACATACTTTTCTTATATTTTTAATTACGGAAATAAAAGTTATATAGTTTCAATTTTCAAATTAAATAGCTTAATAATTCTTTAAATTAAGTAAACTTGCCTTCATTTTTTTTTTTACTTGTAATATAACATGTCAAAGCCTCAAAGGCCAAAAGCACGCTACGACTTATATGCATTAAAAAGGAAAAGAGGAAAACAAAAATTGGTCCAGCAAATGGTTCTTGTGCCTTTCATGATAGCTGAATAGACCTTTCTACCTATGTGGTCTCGTGGCTTGAAATGAGTAAACAAGAATCCAAAATGGATCCTTAAGTATGTGATGTAGACGACATCTTATTGGACGCCCCCTCTTCTCTTGCGAAAATTTTGTATTCACAGATAGATGAGGGTTGAAAAGACTGCGGTGATATAGAAACTGGCAACAATCGAATTGGAGTTTGTTAATGATAGCATAAAAAAATCTCGAGCTGGAAAAACAACGGGCACCCAGCAAATATATCACAAAAATAAAGTTTTGATATTCCAAGCTTTCGCCTATCCAAGGCATTATCAGAGAACCCTAAGTTTAAGGCATAAGGTGAAACGCTGAATAATGTGTTATGCAAAGCTGATACTATGGAGGGACAGGTTTCAGAGCTACACAAACCTCTAAAACAGTTTCTTAAAATCTTGACTTATTGGCTGTGAACGGGTGTTATCCTTTATAGGACGAGCCACAGTTGGATTCGCTGTCGTCCTTTATCTTTTGCTACCTTGAGACTTGCTCTGTTCCACTGCTGGTTACCAAAGTTGTATCACAGGAAAGTTGACGACTCTAGCCGTTTAGCCGTAGATTATGGTTTAATTGTTCATTTCAGGTCAACACCAATGGGGTGATTTCTTTTCTGGTGGAAGTTTCACAGTACACCCCGGATTCATTTCCTCTGGGAAACGATCGTCGACTCGTGGCGCCATTTTGGGCTGATGTTGATACAATAGCTGGAGGACAAGTGTTCTACCGAGAGACCACAGATTCGCAACAGCTTGAACAAGCAACTACTGAGGTTGCAGCCACCTTTGTAGATCACAGAAAGTTCAGAGCCACCTGGCTTTTCGTGGCGACGTGGTATAAAGTCGCTTTCTTTGGTGCTAGAAATTACACATATAAGGTATGGTTTTATTTAGCCTAAACCTGAAGGAAAATGATATTAGAATCAAGTGAGACAACTCATGACACCTGCAAAAAGGAAGAGAATCGATGTAGCAGAAATCTTGCAACTTGCCCCGGATGCCCTTGCCGGGTTTCAAAGTGCACGACCCTTTTACGAGCGGATCAAAAGTTTAAGTTGTCATTATTACCTTATGGAAAGGTGAGTTTTCACACGTGACGTGATTGTTCTCCTACAATCAGAAAACGCATTTAATATTTAAGTTGGGAGGTATAAGAAAAATTCTTCAATGTGCTAATTAACCTGCCATTTTTAATTTTCCTTCAGAGAAACACTTTCCAGGCAGTTTTGATAACAAACGGGCGGCACTCTTTTGTAATCTACAATTACGACAATATCACTTGGACTACTGGCACAGCAAGCTCAGGAGACGAGACCGGGCTTGGAGGTTTCCAGGCACAAGTAAGATAGATGCGTCTTAGAAATACATCGTTTGAATGGTTATTCTTAAAGGCACGTGTGCCTAAATAAGTTTTAAGCGTTGCTTCATTTTTTTTCGGCAGGCAGGCTTCAATGCTGGTGACGGGAAACGCTTTTACAATATCCCAGGGTCTGGCACTCATGATGTTATTAATCTTTCTAACAAGTCCAACGTAGCGAGACCCGGTCGATGGATATTCCGTATTGATAGTGCAAAGATCGAGGAAGGTGGTTGCAACACGAAAGGTCAGGTATAGGCCCTCTCTCCTGTAAGTGACTTTCAAAACTTTCGCCAAGTGAAGGGTACTTTTTCAAAAATGAAATCATTTGGTTTTATCATCTTAGCTGACCATGTGACTTAGCCACCGTAAAGAGTTTCAAAGCTAACGTTTCGAGAGTTAGCTCTCCGTCATTCGCTCGGACGAAGGGCTAATGCTCGAAACGGTGGCTTTGAAATTATTTATTGTGGCCAATTTACATCAAATTAGTTGATAAAATCAAATTATCTTGTTTCACTCCCCCACCGACACAGCACCACATTTTTTTAGAAACTTTCCTCCTTTGAGTTTGGTGTTTGTTTAGGCTGCACACCTGGTTCACTCAAACGAAGGCGTAAATTTTTAGTTGGCGTTAGTGTACAAGTGAACCTCACGATTGTATTCTAATGCTAAAGTATGTTCTCGACTTAAAATGCACTTGAGGGTTGTTTTCAAGTTCCTCGATTGTGTGTAGTAGCTCTATTCTCTTAGTAATCATAACTACTACAATTTCCTCAAGCTGATTTATTTTTCACTAATTGGTCTGTAATCGCACGTTGTAATCGGACGGTTAGCTGAAATCGGACACCTGTAATCGGACAGTCGAAGCAGCCAAACACTGATACCACTCAGCTAAAACCCTCAGCCGCCGTAGAGCAGAGTATCGTGCTGTATTTACTTATAAATCCGTTAGTGATCTTTTTGAGCACTCGTTTAAGCCTTCTTTTAATAGCGAATTTCATAGTTGCAACACTGGCTCTAGGAACAATAACCGAAAGTCATGAGCTATAGTTGGGGATGGGGCCACTGGTCAATCATCATCTTTTGTGTAGAAGTATGGAACCAGCGTGATAATGATATAAGGAATGCCCCCCATCCTAACTTTTTTTTTAGGCGCCAAGTTTCAAAGGTTAGCTTTACATGTTAATTTGTTTTCATGCCTGTATGATTATCACACCTATTTGAATCTTAAATCCTTTAATTGTAGTTCATATACTTTTAGCGTTTACACTAGTTCCTTCTCTTATCTTTCCTATTTATAAATGATAGTAGCTTTGTAGATTTTAATCTTTTTTAGAAAGACCTTCGTGTATACCAATTTTTGCGATCCTGGTAACCTTTATAAAGATTCGGTAGTCATATGACCACGTCCGGTCCCGCTCGCGCAATTCCATAAAAAAACCATAGTAAAAGCTGACGTGCGCAGGGCAGGACGGGTTAACACGAGCCGGTCCGCAAAGCAGTCCGGCCCTGCTGCCCTCACGTCGCTTTGTTGCAAAACCTTTAAAGAAGACAGACATGAGAAAAAAAGTAACGTTGTTCAAGGAATTGGGATTTTCTTGCTCTGACTTAGAAAAATTACAAGTTTTTTTTGTGCTCGTGTGGCTGCGTGTGCCCGTCTATCGTGTCCCATTTAGGTTGAGATTTTTAACACTTATAGGTCATATGATAAAATGGGCTAATTGACTGACTTTGGTCGGACTGGACAGGAAATTACTTGGCTCTCGATCATGATGCGTGGACCTCACTGCGCTAGGTTCGTAGGTCATGAACTTGAATCCAATATTTTTCCGTCCTGTCCGCCCACTCGTCAATAATTAAATATCATTTTGATCATATGACCCGTGCGGCCCCGCGCACGCAAGCTCATAGAAAACCACAGTGAAAGCTGTCCTACGGAGGGCCAGACGGGTGGATACGAGCCGGTCCGGAAAAAGCCGCCCGGCCCTACTCCCACACGCCTTGTAGCAAAAACGTAAAGGAAAAAAAGAATTATGCTGTAGACATTGTTTTCACATTAGGTATTTTCCCCAAATGTACAGAACTTCATGGTAACAGGCTACTTCACTGGTAACAGAACTTCATGTCGTCCAATTTAGTCTGTAATCACACTCATGATCGATAAATCAGACTCCTGCTTCACGGTCGTCTGATTTTGTTAATCATTCGTACGATTACAGACCGAATTGGACTCCTATTAGCATTATAAATGGATTGACCAATCAGAGCGCGCGCTTTACTTTGGTTATGTGATAATTATAAATGGATTTTTTAAGGCAAGATGATGAGATAGCAACAGTGACGAAGATCATGACGATGACGAAGACGTCAAGTACGGTGACAAAGACGATGATAATAATTTTGATGCTGAAGATGACTACGAATAATATACGTTCTTTTCTTTTTATTTTTACAATCTTTTTTTTTATAGGATCCATTGTTATTTCACCGGGCTACGCAATCATGCTTGGCGGTGACAACCTTTTCGTGTCCGGACCCTGCTACAAGCCATCAGATCACATCATATGTGAATTTTCTGGCGGCAAAGCAACCAACGGAAGTTATATTAGTCCGATTCAGGCATCTTGCACTGTGCCCATGCTTTATTTGAGTGGCAGGTTGGTAATGAAAATGTCAGTAAATGGAGGAAGGAGTTTCGATTATCAAGGCATCATCACCATTGGTAAGTTTAGACTTTGGAAAGTTGTGAGAAAGCTTAGCCTTTCACGCTGCATAAAATACTACCTTGCTTAGGCTCTCACTCTATTGGTTATTACATTCGAGTGAAGCCTGTGGGTAAGTTTCTTCCAAAAATTCTATTAGACAGGCTAGGTTTTACGTGGTATATGCCGCATAAAATCTCTTTTATGGATATAAAGTACGTCTTGGGAGATTTTTGGCTGACCTGACGCCATATCGCCAATCGTACCTCCTAGAGGCTAGAACCCTAAGGAATTGGAGTATGACGATCCCACCCCCATTGTTTCAGAGTACAGGTGCATCAGAATTTTTTTAAGTAGCGACGTTTCCTTAAGAAACCTAGCACTAAACCTCACTTAACACTTCGTCTGACTGAGGTATATGTTGATAGTTTTTTTTTAATGATTGTCGTTCCTTCCTAGTTAACATTGTCAAATTCAAGCCGCGTGTCGTTAGGCATATGGCCGCGATGTGGTTCGAACAAAGTCAAGTCCGGATTACATGGGATCCAGCCTACCTCGGAGGCGAGAATCAGAAAGTAACCGTTCAACTGGCTCGTTTTTCCATGAAGGGCAACGGACAAGTGGTTTTTCACAGCACATTCAATCTAGTGGCAGGGCAGGAAAACGATGGAACCAGTCAGTTCGTTGTGCTAAAAGGGGAAGGTCAAGGGTAAGAAGTCATTATTGCCTTTGATCTTCAATCGACTTAAACACGGTCTGTTACGACTTCAAAATAATCGAAATGACGAGGAATTATAGAGGGCCTCCTCATTAAATTCATTGCTTACGCTAGATCGTCAACGATGAAAAAGCTTGAATTTTTACTCTAACCGGAATCTCCTGAATTATTAGGTTTGAGGAGAAATGATTATGTATAACAACTATTTTTGCCGTGTGATCGGATACTTTGATATCGAAGCTAACGAAATCTTTCTTTTGAAGTCACAACGGCAGAAAAGCACACTGGTAGACAAAAGTACACGAGCCTTCTGAATGAGACCTTTTTTTCCTTTTCCATTCATAAACATTTAGAGCTATAGTTGGAGACGATCGTTTTGTCACACTGGTTCTAGTAAAAAGGATTGCCAGCGACTTCAGCAATCCCCCGGCCGAGTGGATCTGGAGCGATCTATTCCATTGGTTGAGCTACGAGATGGCTGAGGAGAGATGTGTGCACTGGTATAACGAGCAGCCTGATCCAAAGATATACACAGGTAAATCACAAGATGGCCCAGCTTATATTTCAAACGGGATACAGAGAGGCCAAGTAGGTAACATTTAGTTTAGGGCTATCAGTAAGCGCAAACACAAATCAACTAAAACTCGAAATTAATGAAACATCAGTACCCATCTTAGAGGAGAGGTCTCTCATCACAATGGATTTAGGTAAACCTAATTGATACCATTTCTTTGCCTGTTCACAGATGATACCTCTCTCCTTTCTTGCCCGCAAACGTTTCTTCAAGCAATGGCCGACCGTGGTCGATTTATGCCAGACGAATTATGTGATCCACGTGCTAGGCAACAGTGTGCTGTATACCATAAGGAGGCAACGCATTGCTTTCGAACAAACAATCCGAGGTGAATATATATGAAACGTCTACAAACCGAGTCGCTTCCTCCGTAGTGAAAAAGAAAAAATCATTTTAGTCCAGTGTTTTACTGAGATATTAAGATGCTTATTGCTCACTTGTTGCTTAAGCGGAGGGTCCGACGAGATATATGACAGAGGGATAAAAATTTCTCGTCCGTCCCAACTTACCACGGTCAACAAGCACGTTGCCATATAACCCCTGTTCTTTCTCCTTCTTCCTTTTTTGTTGCATTTTGCATATCACGGGGCCTTAAAGCTTTTATCCGCCTTGTTCTCGCCATCGCGTTCGGCCCTTTCTCGAAGATATTTTTTATTAAGTAAGGCAAAAAAATCCCGCACTACTTTCATATAATAAACAAAGAAGCCAAACGGTGTTTTTGACTTGGTCCGATAGATTTACATTCAAAGTTTGTGCATTAACCACCTTAATGAACTGGCCGAGGCTCTCCTACAATTCAGTACTGGGGCAAAATACAGTTTGAATCTCCTATTGGGAGAATTTACATTCTTTTATCAATCTCTGAGTATGCAAATGCCATCGATTGAAACAGAACATCCAGCTTATTTCAATTTGCAGTGAACAAGGTGCCGGGCAGCAGTGTTGCTATAATGAACAAGGAAACTTGATGATTGGTCCAAAAAATGGAGGATCCCTGGATCGCGTTCATATTAGGGCTGGAGTGCCAGTTTTCTCTCATTTCTTCCACGACCTCATGCCTTATTCAGACTGCTGTCTGTTCTCTGAGAACTGTGGAAAATACTTTGAGAAGAGTCCTTCGGATAACGGCATTAATTACGAGCCTCCGCGGCCAGGTTGGATATTGCATTTATGACGAACCTTTGTTTTAAATGGGTCTCCTGCGCGAAAAACTGCTTTTCATTGTATCCATGTGAAGTGAGTTCATAAACGTATTCTTGAAAGAAATTCCGAAAGCTAACTAGCCCACTAGTCTATTATACTTCGAAATGTGGTACTGTGAAATAAAAGCAGGTAAATCTAGCTGGAAAATTAGTAAAGTTTGCTATTCCTAATTCGAAATAGCCGTACTCAAAACCGCGAACCTCTGAAGTGCTTTATCGGGGTTAACCGTCCGTCAAAATGGTCTTCTCTAAAATGTTACAAGGGCGACTTTTAAGGTGAAATGATGGGGAGAGTGAGAAAGTGGCTGACTGCAGGCGATATTAGGTTATTTTTCAATCATTCAAGAAAATTTTCTTCCTTGACTGTTAGGATTCTTGGAAAATTTTGTATTGGCAATTTAAGAAGAATTAAAGGAGTAAGGAATTACTAAGCGGATTTCAAATATTTCCTTCACATTCGATCTTCACGCCATTTTTATTTTACTTATATGCAGTTTTCAAGTCTTTTTTGACAGTCATGTTGTTTTTCATGTTTTATGTAATGTTATGATGATAATTTTGCCGAAACTTTCGTTGCAAATTTCATTTATAATCGTGGTTAAATATTAGATTAGAACTGCGGGTAAAATTCAATAATTGTACTCACTTTCATTTATAATTTTTTTTTCTCTAGCCACTGGAATCGGCGATCCTCACATGATTACCTTTGACGGAGTCGAATTCGCATTTAATGGTTATGGCGAGTATCAAATTCTCCAGGTAGCTCCTTCTGGGTTCAAGCTACAGGGAAGAATGCGGCCTCTAATCAATAGTGACGGAGAAATGACTCGTGGCACAGTTTACAAGGCATTTGCGATGAAGGAAAATGGCTCGGACATTATACAGGTAGACACTGGTCAACCAGAAACTAACCGTTTACATTTCTTTAGAAAAAAGGGCTGTTTCGTGTGAGCGTGATGTATGCTTTCGCTGGGCGCAATTTGAAAAGGATTATTAGAAAGAGAAGAAAGTTCTCTAACTAATGATTATGAAACGGAACTGTTTTTTTTTCCTCGAGAGCCACTGACCGTAAATATCGAGAATCCGCCGACAGTTGCAAAATTTCGTAATTCGTTTTATTTTTCTAAAGGACCCTTTTAATGAACCTTTTTCGAAAATTATATCAAAAAGTTCTATCACGCTTTTTTTTTCTCCGAAAAATTGAAAAGTTCAAAATACGCCTAAACGGCCGTTGTCCCCTCCCTTAAAGCAATGAAAAATTATACAACTTCGGAAACTTCATACGCCACAACGCGTTAAAATTCCGCTTTTAAATTTTGTGTGCTGGCAGATGAACCCTTAATTTCTTGCATTTGTTATGTTGTTACGTTTAAAGTCTTAATAGTGACCTGTTGAAATAAAGTACTTCGCGTCTCTTTCACATACGTAAAAAAAAAGGTCAACTTCAGTGGCCTATGAACAGGTCTGCCATATATACTTAAAATCATTATATACATCATCTTAAAGCTTTATCCTTTCATTTTAATTCCTCCAATTCTATATCTTGGCCCGCCATAAGCGGCACGTCCAGGTCTAAAAGAGTTTGGGCTATTTTGTCAAAATGCAATGCGAGCCGCTGAACAGCTTTCATGACCCATTTAAAGGCCTTTAGAAAAGTCTTGTAAGATATATTTGCAAACCAAAATATATGTCATCTTAAAGTTTTATCCTTGTAGTTTAATTCCTCAAAGTATTTTCTTGGCCCGCCATAGGCAGCGCGTCCAGCTTTCAAAGAGTTTTGGCTAAAAAATGACGAAAAATATAATGCGGCTGTCACGCAAGAGGTCAATGCCAATCTTTCAGCTTGGCCCAGAGTTTATTTGGAGTATTCCCGTCAGGTACGCATGAGCGGTTGTTTGTTGACTCCATAAATGATATATTATTTCCTTTTGGATTACTAAAACACAAAATAATTATGAGTGAAAATGGTAAAGCAGTCGAGAAGCGAAGATTTGGGCATGACTCTACACGAGGTGCGAAACAATACTTTTATAGTCACTTTATTGAAAATAGGTCAATTGTATAACTTACCTTCATACCAAAATCGCCATGAAAATCTTTAGAATCTTCGATATACATAGATTTAGGTCGCGAAACCGAGATGTGTGAAAACGCGGACGCCATTTCGCAAATTGATACCGAAAGGTACTGTGGGACATTCGCCACTGAGCTTGGCCAGGAATGTACCAAAATACATGACCTCTAACGTGACAACCATTCTACGGATCGCATTACATTTTTTGTCATTTTAGCCTGAACTCTTTGAAAGCTGGACGCGCCACCTATGGCGGGCCAAGAAAGAAACTTTGAGGAGTAAACTACAGTGATAAAGCTTAAAGAGGTTACATTTTTTGATTTGTAGATATATCATACAAGACCTTTCTAAAGGCCCTTAAATGGGTCGTGACAGTTGTTCAGGGGTTCGCATTGCGTTTTTTGACAAAATATCCCAAACTCTTTTAAACCTGGACGTGCCGCTTATAGCGGGCCAGGATAGAGAATTGGAGGAATTAAAATAGAAGGATAAAGCTTTAAGATGATGTACATTGTGATTTGTAGGCATCTATGGCAGACCTGTTCATAGGCCACTGAAGTTGACCTCTATTTTACCTCCGCGAAAGAGATGCGTAGTACTTTATTTTAACGGGTCACTACTCAGACTTAAACGTAACAACATAACGAGAATTTAATATTTTCTAAGAGATAAAAGGGCCATCTGCTAGCACACAAAATTTAAAAGCGGGATTGCATCGCGTTGTAGCGTACGAAGTTGCCGAAGTTGCATAATTTTTCATAGTTACGTGGGGGGTGGGGGGGGGACAACGGCCATTAAGGCGTATTTTGAACTTTTCGATTTTTCGGGGAAAAAAAGCGCGAGAGAACCGTTTGATATAATTTTCGAAAAAGGTTCTTTAATAGGGTCCTTTAGAAAAAGATAAAATGAATTACGAAATTTAGCAACTGTCGGCGGATTCTCGATATTTACGGTCAGTGGCTCTTAAAACTTTTTCTCTCAGTTGTCCATTTATAACAAAGAGGAAAATGCTCGGCCGTTACTTTCTGAGGAAAATGTCTTGCCGTAAAAGGAAAAACAGTAGTCGACCCCATTGTCTGCACTCTGACTAAGCAGATTTAAAATGTAAATGTCAATCGGTGAGTTCAATTGAATTTAAGCAATTTTCCCCCTGATCAGGTCCACATCAACGGTCGTAGTGAAGTTGATGTTTTGGTGAATGGAGCTGTGATGGAACTTGATCAGCGACTGATGGTGGACTTTAATGGCGTAACAGTTTTAAAATACATCAACTCCTATAAATATTCCATCATATTTAACTCTGGGGTATCAGTTACGATCGAGAAAGCCGATGACCTTTTACAAATGATGCTACTGGTACCACAGATGTATAAAGGTATGCCACATTCTGGACATCCGTCCACGGTGACACCCTGAGTTAATGATTACATGCACCAGCTCGAGGCTGTTTCTCTTTGTTATAACAAACAATGATGAAATTAAATTCAGCGCGCTCTATTTGAATGACTTTGGCTTTCCTTGATAAGCTGGAATGCCCTCTGGTCCTCCTGATTTATGGGAAGTACCTTTAATAAAAAAATCAAGCTGCAACGGACGGGTAACGCATGCTGCAGCAAATTGGCGGAAGAGTGTCGTTTGATTACTCAACGCCAAGAAAAAGGCGATCCTCTGTTTGAAATATCAGATATAATGTGATAGTTTTGAATTTTTTGAAGTTAAATTCAAGTGTTAGTATGTCTATTTCTTTCGCTTTTCTCTCTTCATTATGTCTTTCAAGGAAACACAAGTGGCCTTCTGGGATTCTGGGACGGGGACCAAGCAAAAGAGTTCCTGCTCCCTGACGGAACCTTCCTTGACACCAATTCAACCCAGTCTCGAATTCACTACGAATTTGGACAAAAATGTAAGCTAATACACTTGAGGTCATGTATTAAATACATACAATAATCCTTGTTCACTTAGATCTTCAACTAGAACGTAAATTAACCTCCTTTCCAATTGAACTAAGAGGGTGACATCAAATTACTCTTTAGGGGGAGATATTTATGTTACACTGTTTGACATGCTTTTGGCAGCCTTAATGGCTTCTTTGTAGCCTATCAAAATCCAAAATCTCTTGAAGGCGAAGTCATTCAGTTTGATGAGAGGTTGTATTTCCTCGTCATGAAATTGGTTTTTAGCACAGGATTTGGGTTTGAAACACTTTAAGCTCTTCTTGAGATATTTGTGAACCTTTTGAGACCTTTGCTGTTTTATGTGATACTTCTAACGAACGCAACCAAGTTAAATAAATACAATGAAGTGCGCTCAGTTTAGTCTTCAGTTGAGGCCTGCCCCTTCAAAATTATCAAAATACGTGGAAGACTTGTTGGTCATCCTAATCGTGATATCATCCTCACAGGGGCTACGACTGAAGAGGACTCATTATTCACATACGATTATGGCGAAAATCATACGTCTTATGTCGATAAAGGGTACACACCGATATTTTTCGATCAGGATTTGGTGTTTGATGACGTAACCCTCGGTCAGCAGGCTCGAAATGTTTGCGGTGATAGCAGGCAATGTCTGTTTGACATTTACACCACTGGAAAGATCAGCCTTGGGGTGAATTCTAAGAAGGCCTTGGAGTCGTTTATTGCTGTCGTAAATGAAATGGATACCCCAAGTTAGTGGCTTCTTTTGTCAAGTGTTAATGTTAAGAGGAATGGTCGTTGAAAAGCATGGCTGAAAAACTAGGAGATGCATCCTCCCTTGTTAAAAATTTTAAAACTCTGCGTCTTGCAACACAGTACTGCAAAATCCCTTTGTTCACATCCATATTCAATTTTCAAAACAGATGTCTGAAGTCGTATCCCTGAAACTTTCACCTCTCATCTTTGTAAAAATTAAAAATTTTTTAATCGTTTCTGGGATTTTCCGATGTCTTTAGATCAGTAAATTACCAAATGATTCCGTTTCATTGAGCGATGATTTAGAAAACACTGGTACTGTTCTGCCAGCTGAAAATTGGCAATGGCTTGTTGTGAAACGGCTCTTTGTCGTGCTTAAATAATCTCGCAGTGGGTATGATGGCGACATGGGACCAGTGACCGGCGAAAACATGAGTGCAAAACGTTATTGGCGAGAGACGGACGTGAATACCGAGAAAACAAACTGACTTTTCCCCGCATGAGGTATTATGCATGAAAGGATAATTGTGAACCAGAAACCACATAATTCTCATTGCCGCCGTTTAAAAATGCGTGGTTAAAAAAAATGATCAGTCAGACGTTCGTGGTTATGGATTTTAACTAAAGTTTACCTTGACACGGCTAAATTAAGTTGCTAACAGAGTTTAAATTCTTGCAGGCTGCGTACCAATTGAGAAAGTACTTCACCATGGTTCAATACAAAGAAACGATTATCAAGATGGAGCCGTGTTATTCAGGTTCTATTGTGACACAGGTTTCAGTCTCGAAGGCCCTACAGTTATTCACTGTAACCAAGGACGATGGAATGGTTCTAAACCAAGCTGTGAACCTTCAGGTGAGCTCTGGCGTAGACCATACTAATACGGGAGAACTACACAGAACGTTGTGAATGCTGCAGATGCTAACTTCTCAGAAAGAAAGCACGATCATCATCATTTATATGTTTTCGAAAAAAGATAAATCAAAAACTTTTTCCAAATTTCAACGTTAAACTGATTTAGTCGTTCTGCTCTTTAGGTATGAAGGGGAAATGGAAACTGTGGCATGTCTTCGCCTGTGCAGTTGCAGGGAACGTATTTTTTTTAGCGGTCATTGTGTTCTTCCGTTATATTAAACTTAGATTCTGTAACAATTCTGTCACAAGTCTATCATAAAATTACAAGAAGCTTCACAAAATGAACAGAAGATGAAGGATCTCGTCACTTGCAACAACACGGTTTGTGCATCAAGCAGTGACCTGAAATCAACTGGACAAAAAGCTTGGCTTCATTATAAGATCAAAGCCGACGATTTTGGCAGGTCAGCACAGAAATGGAAACAATGAAGAACGATGCTGCAATTAGGGCTGGGAGCTCCCTGAACGAGATCAGTTGTTCGTCTTTTCTTTATAACAAAATACACTATTGAACGTTGTGCACGTAAAGGGTCAAGGATACTCTAATCATGATGACCCATTACAAAGATGTCTGCTGGCTTTTCCAACCCTTTCCCAATCTGTCACGTCTACTTACTGAATTTTAGTTTAACATCGGCCCCTATCCATAGCGTGAATTGGCCAGTAGGCCTTTTGCAGTTAGAGATCACGCGCTTAGATACCGCATAGCAATGCCATACTGGAGAGCAAGCACTCCAGTGATCTCAGACAAAATAGAGATCACAGAGGTCTGCATTCAAAGAAAGTATACAGCGGAGAACTAGTTAAAAGGTATCCCAATTCGAGAAATCTTGTAAGTTTTAATCAACGAATTTTGGTGTGATTTTGCTGCTGATACACTCCGGGAAAGCTGTTGATTATTTCTTACTGGATTTCTCGAATTGGGATACCTTTTGACCTGTTATCCGCTGTATTCTTTGTTTGAATAAAGACCTCTATACTGTCTGAGATCACTGGAGTGCTTGCTCTCCAGTATGGCGTTGCCATGCGGTATCTAAGCACGTGATCTCTAGCTGCAAAAGGCCTATTGACCGGCACTATCACATTTATCAAGAAAACATTTTTCAGTGTTGTAAATAAACTTATGCAGATCCAAATCACCTTTATTTTAAGCTAACTTCAGTCAGCTTTTGGATTTTTGTGTCCTTGTTAAGCCTTGTTTCACCCACCCTTGCCCGTCGAGGTGATTTTTTTTTTACTGCCTGCCTGCGTAGTTGATGCATTTATGAGTAGTCAACTTTGGGTGGCTCTTTCAGATGGAGTCTGCAATCAGTCCACAGTCACTTTGTTTTCTTTGCCTTCTTCGTTTTTGATTATGGAAATTAGAAAATCCATCTGTCTAAGAGACTACCTTACGCAAGCGAGTTGAATCAAACACAGTAAATGGAATAGGATGTCAAAGGCTCACAACATAAGCAAAAATCAGGTGTTTTGTGTGAAAATTTCGTAAGGAAAGCGACAACTTTACTTCCACAATTACCTCAACTGAAAGAGGCCTTCAACCACTAGGTATAGAAAGTGACCCGTTAAAGTGTCCCACACTGGACCTTTGGAATGACTGCAATTTACGAGTAAGTAATTTTTACCTCAGGTTTTGAAAGCGTGTCTCTCTAATGGTATGAAAAGTGAAGGAATCAAATTAAAGTACTTTTCGTATTCTTATCAGGATCTTTCATCACGAAATACGTTCAAACATGAAATAACCCGCACTATCAAACTGGTTCATCTGCACAAGCAAGGGAGTCCCTTTTACCTTGGCCTACCTAGCTTATCATCTTTCTTGTATCGGTAAGGCTAAGAATGAAGGTCGTGTCAGTCTTTGGATTTCTGCTTTAAATTTCACGTACGTACACTTCAGCAAATAAATTGTTTAAAGCTTCATCGCGTTTTTAAATCGATTTTGAGGGATTCGCCGATTTGCAGTTCAACCACTAAGCTCGTGGCTTTATTCGAATTCAATCCACAAGTCAAATGAAATTTAATTAATTACAAATTGTAAAACTTGCTCTCTTAACTGAAAATGTTTACGATCGACTTCAAGAATTTTTGTTTTCCGCTCACTGATGTAAATGGTAATGGGGTGAAAGATTTCGTAAGTCTCGCGGAACCAACTGACATGAAACTTGGTCGCAAATAAATGGTTTAGTAAACGACTAAACCGCCATTAATTCGTAGATATGCCGGTTACACTTTAAAAAAACCTGCGCGAGTTTCCCATGCAGTTTTCGTCTGCGGATAATTTCTTGAGTGCTCCTCAGAGGACATTGTGACTAAATTCACGTTGAGCGCGTCTATAAGCGGAAGGGTAAAGAAGACGCAAAATAACACGCGCGCACATCCAACAAAAAGATGATCGTACTATTCGTTTTGATGAATAGAATATCTCATTAAACTTCTTTTGCGGGATATAACCACTTAAAAATACCACACGAATGTGAGAGTCAGTTCTTCTGATTCTTTAACTTGCGCCACGTTTTAGAGAGAAAGTACGGTGTAGAAAAAGTTTTCTTATATCAAAAATTCCTTGCTTGAATTGTCCTAACTGGCTACTCATTTGAGCTAAAAGCGTTTTAGTTGCGAACAATTACGTTCCAAAAATCGGCATTTTCAAATTGAAATCCGCCATCTTTGTTATGACGAAACTCACTTATATCTTATTAGTTTTGTTGTGTAGTATCGCTGAGTATTTTACGAGTTGTGCCGTATTTTGACTCGCCCTACGGGCTCGTCAAAATACAAATAACGAGTAAAATTACTCAGCGATACTACACAACAAAACGTCTAATAAGTTATTTATTATCCAACACGCCAAACTGTTATTTCAGTGCGGGCGAATTTCGCGGATGTTTATTTACGGGGAGTGCGTGACAGAAGTATGCGAAGCGGAACGGAATTGGCGCGTTGTTGTGCTGCTGTTTCTATTTTCTTCATTAAATGAAGAAATTTTCTGGTCGTCAAGCTGTTTTTCTTCGTTCGATACATCTAATGAACTTGGATCTATATTTGCCAGCCATTCTGACTCTTCGTTGTCGGAAATATGATTCAAATTGTCCGCCATTTGTTTTTTTTTTTTCGTAACTACAATCCAATTCTTCGCTTGCGCGATGCGAGGAAACCTGTTTAACCGGTACTACAACAGACGAGTACAAATACCGCGTGATATTTGTACTCGTCTATGGCGTTATTTGTACTAGTCTAGGTGTAGTTGGATAATAAGTAGCAATAGTCAAGCATGCATCCCTGCTGAAATGGATGTAAAGAAGGAAAACAGCCGCGAGAAGAGCGTAACTTATTAAATTCTCGACTTAGATTTTAGTCTAGCCGAGACGGGTGTGATACATCCATTTATGTTTAAAACGAAACATGCTTGTCTTCAGAGGAAGAAGATACCTCTGTTCGGGAGAAAGAGAGAGAAAGTCAGGAAAATGAGTTTCAAGAAGAAACGCCGACCCGCTCAGTCGCTCACGTCTTGGAAATCGCGAGTGGTTCTCTTGCGGCAACTGCTAAGAGAAACTTACGGAAAACGAGAACGTATGCTCCCAAGAATTAAATATACTTCTGTGGAATGATAGTTATTTTGCTAAAGAAGACCGCAGTGCCCGCGTCGGATTCATTTACATTGCCGTACCTTGGAATGAGACGAACTATCTTTGCAGTTACCGGAACCCAGCTTGGGTGTATAACTGAACACGAGTCACTTGGAACTAAGCACAACCCCAGTTGGCATGCAACAAGTTACAAATGATTGACTTGAAGATCATTCTTCGTAAACACTGACAAAATAGGTTAGAAACACTAAGTTGCCAAAATAAACGCAGACAAAAGGCAGAAGTTGATTGTTACGAATCGAATGTTGTTTGTTTCAGCATTTACCTTTATTTGCAATGGTATCTTTTATCTTCATTGCTTAGAATTAACTTCAACGCAGTACTTTTCATTCTAAAATTTTTGAAATGTCACGATTCGTGAAAAGTAGAGCTTTGCCTCCATGCAAGCCTTTGTGTTTGGTGGAGACCCAAAATCGTCGCGTTTGAGCTCTTTATTTGTGTTTAATGTATCAAAATATATAACTTGCAAACAGGTTTACAAATTTTGGTGGAAGTTTAGTGGTTAAGCAATTTGTTAAAAAACATTTGCTCCTGCTTCCCATCATTCAACCTATCATTGAGCGTTATCGATCGAGCAAGATGATCAGTCTCAACATGCAAGCTACCCTCCTTTAATTTCCTGTCGTTTTCGTGGTTTGGTTAAGGTGTATTGAATAGACTTATCACATGCCGACAAAATACGATTGATATGATCACAGGCGGCGCAGGCCCTGTCACAAGCTCTGTCACAGGCTCTTTCAAAGTGGATTATTATAGAGTTTGTATAGTGGGTTAGTTGGACTTGCTTTTGAGCTCCGTAAATTTAAAGTTGTGTGAAATAATCAAAGAAATAAAGTCTTACCTTCATACAGAGTAGTCTGTGCTGTTCTTGTCGCGATTTGAGGCCGTTTTGCTGTGTTTCAGCTTCACGTCGTAGCACTACCAAATAAGAGGGAAGGTAGGAAAGCCCTGTCTCACACACGCTCGCCAAAATCGCTCGAAAAATCAACTGTGGCCAATGTTTAGCAAAACAGCAAGCCATTTAGCAAAATATTCCCTCCACGTGTGGGTTGGTATTTATTTCTGACTAATCATTCATATCGTGGGGCTACCCCTATTCTATGTCAATTCCCACTGCGCGTGACTGAAGGCTGGTTTGGGCCAGCCGAAATATAGTGCTCCGTCTTAAAACTTATCTACGTTGTATCGGTCTTGCCTCTATATTTATATTCGTTATTTTGGGCCGATTAGATCACTGTTGATCCAACGTACAAGAGTAGGATTATCGTCCACGGTTGCTTGCTGAACATTTCACTACCCGTTGGGCCTAATTTTGCTAGTGTCCAGGCTGACCGCGTCGTAACGGACTTTTGACTGCACAGGATTTGACCGACGCACATTCTAATGGCATTGAAATGGCGGTAAATTTGAGATTTTCGCTAGGTTGGTTGCTCGACATCCCAAATTTTGTGGGATTTGTTTTGGTGAACTTGAAAGGCAGCTATTTAGCTTTCGTGCTGCCAAGTTTCGATTCAAGGGAAAGTATGTGT